CACATTGGTAGTAGGAGACCTATACAGTATGTTTACATACCACATGTCAGCACTATAACGTTACTTCATACATGCTTCATGCTTTCACTGACTTAGACTCCCACTGAGTTATATGCGCTTGAACTCTTAATTTCTAAAAGCTACAAACAAAGAGTTATATGAGCGAACAGAGGAACTATAACTTTTAAAGATTGCCACCATGTAATGATCAATGCTACCTTTGGACAGATCCCACTAGGGTGGGACAAAGCATGGTAGTACCAGGAATGGAGAACAACTATCATTGGAGTTCAGCGTACTACATCTCTGCCACACTTGTTTTGTTGTACAGCTAAACAATACTGTGTTTAGAGCAGCTCATTCAACAGAGGTTAGACAATGCATTGTTTCTAGTTGTGGGACAGAACAGAGAATGCACACTCCAAGGCGAAGAATATGATGAGCTCTGCGCCTCCCAGTAGATCACCACCCAGCAATAAGGTATGTATTACAGCATTCTGTAATGATTACAGCATGATTGCTGTATGCCCTGCTACGTTGGCTCATTAACTCAAAATGTTTACCAAAATGCACAAATAATAATAAAAAAATATACTACACTATAATAATTTTGGTGTATGATTGCAAAGCAATACAAACTCAGGGATTCAAAAAATGTTCTATATTACAACAAAAAAAAAAAATCACTCAGAGTTGAAACTGACTTGAAGGCAAAATTGAGAGACCCAAAATTCCCTAAAACAAACATTCAAATTAGCAAGGCGAAGAAACAAAAAAGACATTGCACAGCACAGGAGAGCCAATAGCTCTGGGCAAGGTTAATCTATACAATGTCAACCTGAAGAACAAAAGACGCACCTTTAATGACCCAAATATTCAGATTTTGAACAGAGAGGACTGATGGTTTGAAAGAGGAGTGAAGGAAGCCATCTTTGTTAAAAGGGAAAAATGTCTTTAGAAAAACTGAGAGAAATTCCAGTTGCCTTTGATTTAAGTCTGTTTCAACCTTTAATCCATATAAATGCTGTACATGGATAACTTTTTTCTTTTTATGCAAGCCCATTATAGCCCATATGTACTGGGACCTCATGCAGACCCTTTTCAGTTTCGATCAAGGAATTTTATGCATGTATTGATTAATTTACTTCACAAATTATATTTGCCAGTGGAACTACTGTATATCCATGACAACCAAGGTCTGATTTGTCAAACAGAGTTCTGAGAAAACATCGGACTTTCCCTGAAAATTCAAAATGTGCAACTGTGTTTTTTGTTTAACTTTAATGTTGGGTGTTAGTGAGCACTAAAAAATGTCAATGTTCTCACGACTTGCCTTTAGAAATATAACCTTTACTTTCAATGTACTCACCCAAATGTTGCCGTCTTGGTGATATGGTTTCCAGTTTCTCCCTGTATCACTGTAGAGTAGACGGTACTGCGTTGTCCAGTCTGAGCTACTGTAGCGTCCCTGTGTTGCAATGGCGCTCACCTGCTTTCGTGAACCAAGGTCCACTTGGAGCCATTGGTAATGGTCACTGTCCAAAGGTGACCATCCTCCAGCACCTGCAGATTGGATAACATTTTATAATTAGAGGGACATCAAATGCTTCTTTTTAAAGCATATTACTTGACAGTACCATGCATTGGCTTTGCCCAGGTTAAATAAACAAAAAATGATAAAGAGAAAATAAAATCTGTTTCTGTTAAGGGTAGATAAGCTCTTGAGTCCACCAGGGGGTGGAGGCCCAGCATGGGGGAGAGATAATGATCTTTTACAAAGAGAATATAGTTAAAAGGTTACAGTCATCCTATTATCAAGGGTTAGTGTTTAGCAGAGTAGCACATATATTTCTACTAGGACAGAGATTTCCACACAAGAGGTAATAAAATTAAGGGCTTTTCTTGCAGGTTTCCTCAACCAAGTGGACAATGATTATCTTTTATAAAAATATAAACATCTCTTTGTTCATCATGTCACAGTTATACTTTGCACCCTCCAACATGCAGAGACACTTATATTAAAGGTAGGGGGGGAATAGTATGAATAGGAATTTAGAGTAATTTGCTTCTTTCTGCCTAATTTACATGTATGGACCATGTATTTTAGTTGATAGTGAGGATTTAATCCAATTACTGCATATTGTCAGGTTGAGTGGAGGTTTCTAGAGGACCCAAATGCAGAGACGGAAGCTGAGGTATTTATTGCTGATTTAATCCAAAAGGGTGTAACAGAAGTAAAAAATCCACAATTAAAAATAGAGAAAAGAAAAAAAAAATCCTAGAGCTATCAAGGAAAGCACATATGAGGAGCCAAGAAATTATGAGGAACCAACAAAGAGTGACTGAACAGGAGGTGTATGGGAGACAGAAACAATGGGAGGTCTAATTTGCAGACAAGGAACAGGTGTGGACAGAAAAATCTAGAAGGGAGCTAGGGGAAGGAGACTGACACAAGGGAGCAATGGAGAGTAAACAAGAAATACATAAAAACTTAAATACAATCAAAAATAACCGGAATAACACAAAATGGAAATAAAACCAATGAAAACTCTAAGAGAAAACTTAGAATCAAAACCATGAAATGTGTAATTTTCAACATGTCTAAGAGATTGTGTTTGTTTTTGTTTTGTTTTTTTAAATTAGAAGATGGCTCTTTAACATTTGAGCTTTCATGCTTCATTTAGTAAAGAGAAATAAATGCGGTATAGTATTTAGATTTCTTGAGTTAAAAATTAAAATCTTCAAAGAAAGCTACTAAAGTAACGTAACAAAATGTTCAATGAATAAAGAAAGTTGCTTTGAGAAAATATTACTTCAGTAATCAGTAATGAATGATCATTCAGTTTAATTTTCCAAGGGCTACAGTGGGGACAGTTGGGATAGGTGGAACATTCTGCTCTGTAATACACTCTGCAATTGTGAGAATGTAAAATCTCAAGGCTTTATATTTACTAAGAAACACATTTATGTGCTGTCTCAAACCTGAACCCTTTTTTTGTTGGTCTGAATTGAAAGAAACTCTTCTGGACTTTGCAGGTTAAATGAGTCTCAGGTTAAATCATGTTGGGATACTGTACAAGAAAAATAAAACTGTTAGAGGAAGAAAATATAGCAGAGTTGGAAGGCATCCCCTTGACCCTAATTTTATGTGCCATCAAATAAATATGAACACTGTATCTCACCCTGTCTACTGCCAGTTTATCAAACCATAGCCAACAACAGATGCCTAAATCAGTTGCAAAAAGCCATTTTCAGTCTTAAAGGATTTGGTATTTTTAGAGACATGGAAAACACACCTGAGACCTAGTTTGTAAAATGTTGCGTTGGATGCATACTAATGCCAAAAATGTACACCCTAAAATTTTAGATATATAAAAGCATGTGCAAGCTCATCAACACACATTTTTCCATTATAAATCACAGCAGCCTCTTTATATTTGCATACAACTTTGGCCCTCATATGCTGCACTGTACATGGCCACATTTGCAAAATATGGCCAATGTAGGGTTCAGCTTGAAGCACTGTTGCAAAGAAGGTCCTGGGTTTGATTCCCAGCCCATGGTCTTTGTGCGTGAAGTTTGCATGTTCTCTCTGTGCATGCATGGGTTCTCTTCAGGTACTGTGGCTTCCTCCCATAGTCTGTCCATGGTGTACTGGTATCTCAGTCCTAGGAAGATGTGTCAGGGTTTGGTTGAGGTTTTTCAGGACCCAAATGCAGAGGTGAGGAGGCAGGGGTGAGTTTTGAAGATTTAATGAGGTACTCATAGGCTACTGAGGCAATAATCCAAAAATCCAACATAACAAATACAGAAAAAAACAGGACCTTGGAAACATCAGGGAAAACATACATGAGGAGCCATGAAAAGATGAAGAGCCAGCACTGAGGACAGTACAGAGATAATATATATTGGAGACTGAACAAAGACTGGACTAATGAGCTGGTATGGAGCAGGTGTGAACAGAGGCTTCTAGAAAGGAGCTAGGGAAAAGGAGACCAACACAACCGGGCAACTGAGGGCAACCAATAAATACCTAAGAACTCAAATATATCCAGAAAACACCACAAAATACTAATTAAACCAATAAAACTAGAAAACAACGAAAAACATGAATCAAAAGGAAACTAAAAATTCGACAGAAAACTTAAACAGAACCAAGACCATGACAAGATGAAAATGTAATTTTCTAATTTGGTTAGACCTTTTCTTAGGTCTTTGATACAGTTAACTACTTTATCGCGCTAAACAGGTTGAAGGGTATGATTGTGATTACCGCTAGAGTATCTAAGGTGGTTCTCTTCTTATATGACTTGCAAAAGCTTCATCATCTTAGTAAACACTGACTTCTGAAAATTCTGAACTTCTTTATGGTCTACTGTACCACATTTTTCTGTGATGGGACCAACTTGCTTTTGCAGCACCTGTTCCACTTAACTTAGATTATACAAAAGTTTAGTGATGTATCCTACTATCTGTTTATGGAAAATATATATCTTTTTGTTGCCTTGATATATGTCTGAGGCTCCCTGATGAGCTGCCTGATAATTGTTTAAAATTAAAGTAAAAAAAAACTAAGGCTCTTAATATTACCCTAAATAGGGATGTTACTTATATAAAAGGAAAAGTTCGGACACATTCAGAATACAAACGTCCGAAAGTACTTTAAGTATGAAATTACTTTTTCAATAAATTATAAGTGTTTTTAATTAAGAGTAATTTCATTGGAATTTACTTTGCTGGAGACATCCATGTTTGTCAAAGGGCACTACCGCCACCTACCCGTTTTTGATGTTACGGTGTGGAATCAGCTGTTGCTTGTAAAGCTAGGAGAATGGCGCTAGGCTTACCGCACTTTGATGTCACTGCCGGAAGTTGTCAGGAGTGAGGTGTTACTATATTTTGGCAAAAAAATTCCTGGACCCAGTGATCGCGCCGAAAAATATTGTTTTTATTTTTTTACTGATTAATGCTAACTTCATCAATTCACCGCAAACATATTATTTTTAAACGTATAAATAATCAACCATCAACATCTTTAACCTCCAATCTTCTATAACAAAGAACTTGAAGTTTTGGTTTATGCTTTAGTTTCCTTTCGTTTAGACTAATGTTATAATGTGTATACCCTTGTAAAGAAAGGGAGCTGGCACATCAGAAGACCAACATCACTACTGTTTTTAAAATTACTCCAATGGCTCCCAGTAGCTCATCGTATAAAGCATCCAAGTTTAGTTTTGACACTCACAACACAGCTTGCTTGGATCACCCTTCACTGCTACATCTGTGACTTGATTCAACTATACAGTGAGAAACTACCAGCAAAATCTGCTGATATTCTCTTACACTTGCTTTCAGGCCTCAGGAAATAGATCTGTCTAAGCAGGTGGATTAAGACTGTGGGATAAACTACATTTTTTGTGATCATTGAACTCTGTATTTGCTCCCAAAAGCAAATAAAGACATGATTTTTAATAAAGGATTTTTAGCTTTACCTGTTTCAGGCTACTATGGCTGATTATACAGTATGTTGCTGTTTGTGCCATCTATTTAATGCTTTTCATTTAACTTTACTTTTATTGTAAAGTACTTTTTAACTGTTGCCTGAGAAAGATGCTATATGAATGAAATTGACTTACCTACTTATTAATGGATAGTTGATAGAATTATTACCAACAGTGACTTTAGGCAGCGTACTGATAAATTATTACTTTTGATACCTTTGTGTAAATTCAAGCTTCCAAAAGCCATTTCCTTTGAACCCCAGAATGCTTAACAGCTGGAATTTAAATCAACAACAATAAAAAAAAGCAAAACATTTTGATAAAAAGGCATCTATAAGATTCAGTATTGGCAAAATATGGATGCATTTTGGCTACTACATTAGTTTCCTAATATTTCTACTGTATAGATACATGGATTAACCTGATCTGTAAAAACCTCAAATGCCCTTTCTTTGTTTTCTAACATCAAACAGTTCACACTGACATTTTTTTTGTTAAAACTTTGTGATTGTTTTCTTTGAACCTATTGCATTAAAATAGATCCTCCTTTTATTTTATTTATACACACCCTCATCAACTATGTTTCTCTGTTAACTGTCTTTAAGTTGAATTTGATAACATCAAATTGATTTAGTTTCAGTTCAGGTTAAAATAACCTTCTGGAGCTCTAGAAAATGTTTTATTAAGTTTATCTTGAGTTTAATTTTTTTTTTTTTAGTATTTTGTTTGACTTTTTGTCTTGCTAATGTTGATAAAAAAAAAAAATCCTGGTGAGAGGTCTGCCACATCGGCCACGTCCTTCAAAGAAGTCAAAAGCAATTAAGCCTGGAAGTGATCAGCTGTGAAATGGGACAGTCTAGCCTTGACGAGCCTAACCCAGGCTCTCGCCTCAGCGTAACTTCGGATGCCTAGCAACCGTGACAAAGATAAGGGGTCTTTATTTCAATTTTTAATGGGAGATGTCAGCAAACAGGGCAGGCCTCCAGCAATTTGTGTTTTGAGGATTTTTAGCTACACTGCTAACAATGTTTATAGGTTCAAATCAGATTGGATCCAACCCTT